GACTTAGTTGCTGGAAAAAGAATCTTTCTATAATCCTTGTGGTGACGTATCAGTTCTCTCTTGTGAACATCTACTTCCCAGTAGTCAACCACAGGATATGCATGTTCAGCTACATCTTCATCACTATTGAGGTCAACAGAAATATGACCATATTCATAGTGAGTGAAGTGAGAGTAAAAACTCTTCTCGCGCCGAGTCTGCAAATTCACGTCAGACAGATACCATGCAATATCTTGGAAGTCCAAGACAAGATGAGTACTGGCTGCAACCTTCAACTCCAAATATTTGATACCAAGAGGCACCGATGTCAGATAAGCATGTTGAGGTGTCAGCCTGAGTTCAAAGCCTAAGTTCCTCATCTGTGGCAAGCTCATAAGCAAAGGGACTTCTCCTTCTTCCACTATGTCGAACTCTGTATGGTGGATCGTCCATGCACGATCATACATGTAAATCACCAGTTTCTGAGAGCAAGTAGCCTTCTGGGAATTGGCAAAGTAAAACTTGCTCTTGGTAGCCTCAAAAGAGTACCATAATCCACAATCTGGGTGATTGTCGACATAGTTGCAAAAATGGTCGACTGCTCGCCTTGATCCCATAGCTTTAGTGCATCCAATGTCCAGGATTGCAATAGTCGGCGGGAAGCGATTCTCAATCAAAAATGAAATGGCCTGCATCTCCTTCACTTCTTCCTCAGCGCTCATAAGCGCAAAGCCATCAGGAGCCTTTGTGAGCATCTCCTTTGACAAAGAGTACCTCACAGGGGCACTCATGCCATTGAAGATCGTCTCACCATTGTTGACCGCGCAGTCAGCTTCATCTTGACATGAGGTCATCATGCCTGACAGCAAGTTCACCTCACTGTCATGGACTTCAGCTGCTGCCATCACACAATGTGCAAAGAAACCTTGTTGACCTCCTGATGCTTGTGAAGTTCTTGAAGGTGCAGGTAAAGAACGTGACTGTTGTTGATTTGCATAGTTTGCATCTTGTTTGCCATCTCCTTTATCTTTTCCTTTTCCTTTCTTGCCTTTTCTCTTGCCTTTTCCTTTTCCTTTGTGGGAAAACCATGCTTCTTCAAGCTGTTGCCAAAAGTCATTGGCATCATCATATTCTCCTTGAAGATAGTCATTCATATCTTCGGCAAGAATGGCATCATATGCTACTTGGTTCGACTCCCAAGTGTCCTCATAAGGATTCTCTTCAAAGTATTCATCTGGAAAAGTTGTCTGTTGCTCATCAGCAAAATGGCCTTTACCTCGTCTCTTTCCTTTTCCTCTTCCACGAGGTCTGAAGAATCTGCGGCCTGATCTTCCTTTACCTTTTCCTTTTCTTCTTCCTTTTCCTTTGCCTTTTCTGGCTCTTCTTCCTTGGAATCTCCTTTGGAACCACGAGAAGTTTTGATCATCATATACCCAAAAGACATCGTCCAGGGCATCTAAAAATCCTTCTGTTCCATCTTCTTCATCTTCGGCCCAATAGCCAAATGTACCATCGAGTTCTCCTTCGTCTAGTACGAGAAATGATCTTCTACCTCCAGCACCTGTTGGCTGCATCAAAGGATTGTCTACTGAAGTCTTTGTCGTGCAGAACATCTCGATGAACACTGTCCTCCACTCTGTTGTAGTATACTGCTGCAGGACCCTGCCACGATGAGTCATCAAAGAAGTTAAAGTGTTTCGCTGGTCCTGAGACAAATCTGCAAGTGACAGCATGAGTAAGGCAATGAGATTTTCTCCTAGAGGAAATTCGTTCTGATGAAAAGTCCTCATATTGCCATTGATGGTCTGCATGATTTCCTGAATCCTTTCTGCCGTTGGTGCTGCTCCAGTCAACGCTGCATCTGCCTGCATCTGAGCTAGGACTTGTGGATGTGCTTGAGTGACTGGTTCTAACATGTCCATCCAACTGCTCATAAGCCTTTGGAGTAAAATCTGGAATCTTGTCATCCATTTCATCATGTCAGCTGATCCTCGATTGAAGCGCACGAATTGCATGAACCTATACAGGAATACATTGGTTGATCCTTTCACGAAATATGGTCGTAGTACTCGTTTGAAATATTCTACGCCGGCTCCTGGTGGATCATCTGCCTTCAATGCATCTCTGTCTAAAACACGCTTGTATACAGCTGCTTCTCCTTCTAATCTGTTTCTCAATGCTGGTCCTCTCTTCTCATCTTCCAGCTCGGTGATATCACACCAATCGTCTATGGCATCCTCATAGGAAAACCATGAAGTCTTTCCATCATAAGATGGGGGCACCTTTGTAGTGACCTGTGTTGTCATAGCTATCGCTGCTGGTTCTCTTCTCACATGCCTATTCACGTAGGCTGCTGGCTCATAAGCCACATCCGCATCAGGCTCTTCCCAGTC